GCCTTCCCCGGATCCCAGCTGCCTGTGGCTGCGGAGCTGCGGGGCCCGGGACGCCGGCGTGTACAGCTGCAGGGCCCAGAACGAGCGGGGCCGGGCCTCCTGTGAGGCTGTTCTCACAGTGCTGGAGGTCGGAGGTAATGGGGAGACGACGGGGCTGCGCTGGCTGCGGGGTGGGTGCTCAGAGGTAGAGAAGGGCTGCCCAGGCCACGTGGGAGAGGTACACTCCCTCCCCTCTCCCCAGGTGCCTTGCTTCTCAGCTGCACTGGCCAGGAAGTGCAGATCAGGAGGAAAGTGCAGGGAAATGGGTGTCAAGGTAGGGAGGCTCCCAGGGAAGGTCAGAGGTCAAGGGTCAGCAATGAGTAAGCCATGGCTGAGCCCAGTCAGTCTTCTTGGGGAATTCCCGGTAGGCACTCTCCTAGCTTCCCTGTAGAGAGTGGCCTGCAGAGAGGGAGAGATCATCGCAGTCACTTAGACTTGAGACCACTCCATCAGTCTCTTACAGTGCCTGAAGGAAGGGGCCAGCTCCCCTGGTCCAGGGTGCACTGCTGGGGCCAGGGGCTGGAGTGCCTTGTGGAAAACTGCTATGGCAGATTGGCATGGCCAGCTCCAGGCAGGGTGGGAGAGGCCAGGAGGTGGTGCGTAGGAAAGGTTCAGGGCAGCAGGAAGTGGAGTTAGGGAGAGAGCCCCTGCAGCAGGAGTGGAGGGGGACCCTTGAGGATGCACTTGCCTGCATGTGTGTGTCCACATGCACACGCACACACAGAGGCCGTGGAGGGCTTGGGACTCTGGGTGGCAATACAAACAGGTGAGGGACAGGAATGTGGCGTGGCCATGGAAAGCCTGCGACCAAGTCTACCTGAGGTCTCAGAATGGATGTTCGGAGGGCATGGAGGGGAGATGCCTGAGGCCGGCGTGCTGGCCCCTGAGTGTGGTGTGGTGGTGGAATAACAGGCTGGTGTGGAGGGAAGGCTCATGGTCTCAGGCTATGAAAGACAGGGAGAGGCAGGAGCCTAGGCCCTGTGTGCCGGGCACTGCTGGGCCGGTGTGGATGCCAGGCCTGGGCCGATTGTCCTTGGGTAAGTGTCTGGGTTTCCTTTTTTCATTTCCTTAGCGCCCGAGTTAGCCTAATGGTTTTTCTCTAAGCCAAAGACAGAGCCTGGGGCAGACTGAGCCTCGAGGAGCAGACTCGTAAGGAAGCAGGTCAGGGGGATGGCAAAGAGCTTGGGAGTCACTGTCCTGGACATTGTCAAGAGGGACCTCTCACTCTAGCCAGTGGTGTCATGTAGGAGCAGATCCTCGGGGGCTAGGAGGAGGTCCATGGATGAAGGGCCTCAGCAGCTGAGGGGATGGAAGGCTGCAGGGTGCAGCTGAGGCAGGAGAGGGGCAGGGCTAGCCCGCTGTTGGCATCCCTTCTCCCCTAGCCTCGCCCTGCCCACCCTCCTGGGGTCTCTAACAACTGGCTTCTCTTGTCTCTGTGGCGAGGCCCAGTCTAGAGAGGGACAAGGCCGATGGCTCCCAGTTGGACTAGCACCTAGCCAGGTGCAGGCTTCCCCAGCCTGGACTCAGGGAATGGGATGGGTCCCAGCAGAGTTCTGAGCTAGAGGAGTAAACTCCTTGGGGATCTTAGTGCTGGTCCTCTCAGGGACAAAGGGGGCTGAAAGCAACGGAAAGCAAGGGGCATGATAGATAAAGTGATGAGGATACAACCAGGGGAGAGAGGTTTGAAACGGGGAGGAAGGACTGCGAAGGAGAGGGGCGATCCTAATGTATGTGAAGTTGGGGAGGACCCAGGGCAGTACAGCTCCAAACACTGCCTTTCACAGGTGAGGACCTTATAGATGGGGTGCAGTGGGTGGGGAGAGAGCTACCTGAGACCTAGTTGTGGCCGCTCCAGGACTAAGAATCCAGCCTTTCTAGGTTGGGCTCTGGGAGCGTTCTACTGCTCAAGAAGTTCTAGAGAGACGAGAAGGAGGGAGAGCTGTCCAGTGTTTGGGGAGTCCATTGCCCAGGCCTTGAACTCCTGAAGATGGGAGCATCTTGGCCTGCCCTAGTTCCTCAAAGTGAGGAGTGTGATGAGGTTCAAGAGCCCTCAGTTTTGTTGTTTTCTCAGCCCCTCTGTGACTTGGGGAGTGTGATCAGGAGAACTGAGCCCTGGTAGGTGTATCTAGACAGATGCCAGGGGACAATCTGGGCTGGATTGCTTGGGTGGAACAGCAGACCTGAGAGGCTTGGGGTAAGGAAAGGACACTAGGTGCTGTGGGGCTGGATTTGGGACCTGCTGACATGCATGTAAGAATAGGACGCGGGCCGGGCTGCAGCGAGCCACAGTTGAGAACATGTCTTGGTTGTGCAGATGGAAGGTGGCAGAACAGGTGGACACTCCAGTATGTCTCATATGAAGACCCCTGTGCTTAACTATTATACCCCTCCCACATGATCTGGGGAGGGAGGGGCTTTACTCTGGTGCTGCTGCGTGAGTCTGGCTTCCTCTCCTTTCTGTTGCCCACATTGTATCCCCTAGCCTGCCCAGTGATGGCTCCTAGTCCCAGGCAGCTAAACCAGCAGGTCAGCATTGCTCAGACTCGATCATTGAAAACGTCTTGGTTGGAATCAACAGCAGGAGGACTTCAGGGTACTCGAGGAAGCCAAGCGAGGACCTGGCTGCAGAGGGAAGAAGCCAGTTTCCTGGCTGGAATTGCTTTCTGGCTCTGCCAGACAGGGTGATGCTAAGGTTCCTGGCACTCCTGAAGCTTGAGATATTAGCTCAAGGCTGGCAGGATATTGGCATGGCTCTGCAGGGTTGGGGCCCCAAGGAGATGATTGGGCTTCAGGCTGGAGAGTTGGGAGGACAGGAACCTGGAGTGGTGGCAATGGGATTTGGGGCTACAGAAATGAGGACAGACTAGACACAAAGGAGGCAAAGATGGCAGACACGGGATACCCACACAATCCTTAACACATGGGAGGTACTCTATCTCATCTAATGATGGGATTTTCCAACCCCTGGACTACTATTATGCCCATTATTCATGTAAGGAAACTGGGGTTCAGGAGGAAATTTACCCAAGGTCACGTGGCTAGTGAGGTGGCAAAGCCAGGTCTAAAAGCCAGGACTCTGGACCAGGTTCCACATTGCCTGTCCACAGAGAGAGAAGCACGGGAAGACTTATGGCTTTGTCTTCATAATCATCTTGCTCCTGTCAGCACCCCTGAATCTATCTTCTGGCCCAGACTCCAGGACAGGCAGGCATTCTTCTCTTTCTAACCACCAGGTTCCCGCCACACAGGCTGAAGAGCCACATGCCTGTGACCAGAGCAAGCACTGCCTCAAAGCCTGGGGCACGTGTGGTGAAGGCGGGGGGTTGCATTAAAGGCGAGGATAGGGAGGACGGGGCCTAGCCGAGCACAGGGGCAAGATGACCACCTGCGTGTGAGCAGGGTCTTGGAAGACTCTGGTGTCAAACAGAAGGGCCAAAGGTCAGCAGGGTTAGTGAAGCATCCTGGGAACTTGAAGGCATGGGGGGAACAGGTTAGAGATGGGAAGGAAGGCCAAGTTTGGCAGGGAAAGGTGCGGAACAGAGCAGAAGTTGTGATGAGGAATATTCTGCAGTTACCATCTTTTTCACCTGGAATTTTGAATGTCTGAATTAAAAGCCCGAGGGAAACTAGTATGCAGTTGGGAATGGGTGTAGCCGTTCATTCATGCCAAGTGCCAGTTAGGGAGAGGAGGAAGGGCCAGCATGGGAACAGAGAGGAGCCCTGGGAGGGAAAAGAGAGAAAAGCAGAGAGGTCCCCAGAAGTCTGCCAAAACCCATGCAGAAGATTCTTTCCTGAGTCAGCGTAGATCAGGGCAGATCAGGGCAAAATGAGAGGTGGTCGCTTCTCCAGCCATTTCTGGGGGGAAAGGATCTGGGACAGGACCAAGAAAGGGGAAGGCTGGGTGAATGGAGTGGTTCTGGGAAGATTTACTGTCCCCTCCCTGCCACTGATTCTCTCTACGCTAACCCCTCCTCCCATATTGACTGAGTGCCTACTGTGTGTCAATTACTGTTCTAGTTGCTTGAGATACAAGAGTAGGAAGAAAAAAGACCAAACTTCGTGTCCTCTGAGAGATTACTTTCTAAAGAAGGGAGACAGGCAAATGCAACAGACATAGTAAATAAGCAAATTATATAGTATGTCCGAAATACAGGGCAGGCTTGTAAACGAGGGAGGGAGAAACTGAACAGAGGCAGGAACGAGAGGAGCAAAGGGAGGGTAATGGGTACATGCGACTCGGAGCGGGGTCAGCGGGCGAGACATGGCATGGCCTGAGGACTTCGGTGGCTCTGGTTAAGGGGAAATGCTGGCAATGTAGAAATGGGAAGTTTAGATTTGGGGGAGTGGCAGGTGGGCCCAGCTGCCCAGCCTTGGAGAGAAAATGGGGCATTCTGGGGCCAGCCAGAGGGCCCACCCTGAGAGCATGTCCCAGGCCAGTGCTTTAGGGGTGAACAGCACAAGCCCAGGGCAGGAACACAGAATCCTGCCGGCCCCTCCTCAGCCAGCTGTCCCGTCACTCACTCCTGCTGCCCATTGGTTATTTTTGCTACGGAATGTGCCAGCCCCTTGGATTCTCCTGGGGATCAGGGAATCAAGTTACCCCCCTCCCACTCAGCATCCCCATCTGCAGGGAAAGCGTCTGTGGGTGTCCAGGGTCCTCTGGCTGGAAGAAGTAGAGACATACTGTGTACCATCTCCGAGCATGGCCCCTGTGCTTGCATCTGCATGAGTAACTTTTGCTTCTGGCAGCCTGGAAGGAAGCAATGCCTGTTGCATCAAAGATTTACAAGACATGACCTTCAACTTTCAACCAAGGGGGCCCCAAACTCAAGGAACTTGGGAGGACAAGTAGAAAGTGAACATGACGGACGTGCTGTTGAGAATGATTTGAACTTAAGCTAAATGAACTCACGGGCCTGGCCCTCTAAATTTACTTTAGACTCAGGCTTTAAAGAAATATGGTTAGGGGGACTGGCAGGTAGTGGGTGATTGGGGAACTGGGCTCCCACATGGCTGACTACGGTTTAAGTCCCGGATCTGGCAGCTTGCTTTCTCACTCCCCAACTGCTGCCTTTCTGGTCAAATTACAAAAAAGAAAAAAAGATAATGGTGGTGCATGGAATTAAATAAATAAAATTTTTAAAGAGATTTTTTGCTATAGAGTGTACATGCTCTCTGGCGAAACAGAGAGACAGAAAATGAGACATCGTCCCCTAGCGGGGATGGCAAAGCTGCAATCCTTTCTCCTACATTTTCCTGTCAGATTTTGGGCATGCACGCACTTGCGCTCAGTGTGAGTTTTAAGCTGCTGGGTCTAGGGCTCAAGTCATCGTTGATTGTGGGAGTCCAGCAATGTAATCATTACACTGTCTGCTGATCTCCTTAAACAATTCTTTAAAAAACCCCAAAAATTGTTTAATGTAAAAAATAAAAAATATATGGTTAGAGAGCCAGCAAGCAGTGTGGTAGTTAAGGCGCTAGATTCCCACATGGCCGACCACAGTTTGAGTCCCAGGCCTGCCAGGCATGAGTGCATGCATGTCCCAAATCCCGAGACGATAATGTAGGCAAAGGGATTGTGGCATGGCCATCCCGCCTGGAGGGTGAGTTCTCACTTTCCCTCTATCTGTCTCCCCTGAGCACACATACTCTTTGGCAAAAACCTAAAGAGAAACAAAGAGAGAAACAAAGAAAAAGACAGGGAATTCACTGACCAAATCAGCCTGATGGCACAGTGGCCAATCCTTGTCCTAGTGCCTGGGTTAGAAGCCGGGCTTCTTCAATGGATCAGCTAGGTGACCTTGTGCAAGTAACCTCTCTGTATTTCAATCTCTGAGCTTGGGAAGATTCCCTGCGTTTATTCATGTGATGTAGTGCAACGCCTGCTGCATACCAAGGATGCAATAAGCGTTAATAATCACTTAGTAGTCACAGCTCTGAACCAGGATTGGCAGTACCTGTGAATGCTGGCTGGAAGTTCTAGCTGAGGGACACGTGGAGTCCCAAGACCTGTGTGGCTTTGGCTAAGTGCTAGGACTTCCCTGAGCCTCAGTCCCTTGTCAGTTAAATGGAGATGGGAATGCTTATATGTGTTTTAGCTTGCAGGGTTGTCATGAATGAGGTCAGGTTTGTAAAGTGCCTGGCACTCAGTCAATGTGAAAGAAACCTAGCTATAGTGATTATTGGGGTGGGGATAGAATTTTGTGAATGCAAAATGTGCATGGTGCTGAATGGAGTGGGGTGGTGAGGGAGGAACACAGAAAAGGTTGTTGAGTGTGCTGATCTGTGAGTGGTGTGAACGGTGGCCTTTGAGAATCACAGGACTACCTCTGGGCACTTTAGTTTGGGGGGGTGCTGCGTGCAGGGGCTTTTAGCTTGGGGGGTGCAGCTTGCAGGGGCCATCAAGAAAGTCAAGGTAAAGCCCTTGGTGAGGAGACTGGGGAGGAGACTGCAGGAGGGGGTTCCATAGTCTGAATCCATGTCAGCGCAGAGCCCCCACCCCAAAGACCCCTCGCCTTGCGAATGACCTACGCACCCCCAGTGGGCGCTGCACCCCGCAGCGAGTTGGGACTGCCTGGCACAGGGTCCGTGTGCGCATGTTTGTGGAGTGAGCAAGTCGAGATGCTGCTGACCTTCCAGAGCAGCCGGGTGGGGAGGGGGCCGCGT